TGGGGCACGGGATCACCAGCTCCTGGTCAGCCTCATCTTCGTGGTGACGATGTAAATGGTTTTTGAGTGAAGCAAGCACCTTTGTCGAGTATCTGCAAAGGCTACAACAGTATGGTTTTGTTCGGTATCTCTGTCAAAATAAAAGAACAGTCTTAGGCAGATGAAGAAAGCTGCTGGGGGTCCCACAGTGCACTGTGCCCAGACACCATCACCCACTCCACCCACCCTGAGCAGCAACGCTTGCTCCAGGACCAGGGTAGGGGGATTCTCCACAAGAGAACAGTGACGCTGCACTGCCCCATTAAGGGATAGGCACAACTGCTGTGTCCCAGTGCAACTTTACTTATAGAACCAACTCCAATTTCACATGACTTTCACACATTCCAAATAGTACGCCTTTAAAAAAAAAAACACATAAGAGCCTAACAAATATTTTTAGCCTGTCAAACACAGAAACCCAGAATCTGGCCCAAAACCCACAGCTTGCTGACCCGTCTAAACCATGCCCTGAAACCACAAATCCCAGCACTTAATCCTGTATTTTGAATTGAACTGCAATAAAAATTTTCTGTAAGAGGAAGTTGTTTTCTTCCCTACCTCCTCATCTCTTAGTTATGTCATTTTTACTCCCGATTCTAAAACTTGGAATTCACCTACAATTGACCTGGCTTCCAACCCGTGAGACCCATCGTTACTGTCTTTTTAACTTCCCCACTGCTCGAGATGGTAACAGCCAACAGATGTTGCTCAGCACAAGCAAGTGCCTGATAACAGTCTGAGAATGGTAAAGAGCGACCAACTGCCTAATGCACACATCCCTTTTTAAAAATTTAGAGACAGGGTCTCACCAAGGTGCTCAGGCTAGCCTCAAACCTTGTACCACTGGGGCTGGTACAAGGCACAACACTGTGTAAGTATTATTCTAGATTTATTAGTAGTTCATTAAAAATGGCCCATCTTCTACTAAATGAAATGCAGTATTGAGAATCTATACATTCAATGAAAAACAACGCTCAACAAGAGAACCAGTGGAAGTGGACAGTACATGCACACCAGCATCTGCTGGAATTGAGCAGAGCCTGGGGAGGAAACTTTCTAGAATGCGATGCCACAGACAAGAACTGCCAAAGAAAAGGGCGGAGAGCTGAGCTTCATGGAGACAGCAAGCTTCCGCTTCTTGGAAGCTGCTGTTCAGAACTGCAAGGGGGCGCCACAGGTAGATGTGGACTTGGGAGCCACCCAACAAAGGACACAGGCCTCAAGGCCAAACCTCCTAAGAAGAGCAGCGACCTGATATTCTAACAATGGCCATGGATCTGAACCCTTTCCAAAGAGGGCTAGTGATGCCAAAAGATGTAAGGCAAGAAGCTCCAGGTCCTCAGCAGTGGGCAAGATGCAGACCCCAAGCAAAGGTGGCACCCAAAGGTGGCATCCACACACCCACTTGAAGACCACAGCAACATGCACTGCTCATGGGGAGGAATGACATGGCCACACAGCCTAGCCAGCACACCCCAAGGCACCACCCTGGGAAAGGCAAGCATGTGTCCACGGAAGCCTCCCCACAGGAGGGGGAAACACACACAAGCTGGACACCAGGTCACAAAGGAGGCTGCTGAAAGGGGTGCTGAGCCACCGCTGCACCACACCTAGGGGAGCCTCCTCAAGAGCCCACAATCCTAAGCTGAACCACAGGGCTCTGACTTAAGCCCTCAAGGAACTCACGGCACCACGAGCCACATGGTGCACCTTACAAACCACTCTCCTGCTGTAACACTGTCTGGTCTCTATCCCCAAGTCCTATCCCCTGAGCCTGACTGAAGGAGGCCACCTGCAGATGCAATGGTAGACCAGCAAGCACCACACTGCCACAGGGGCCCCAAGCCATTCCATCCTGAGAGCGGTGTCTGTTAACGCCAAGGCCCTGTTCACTCCACAAACACACATTCCTGGGGCAAAGGAACCCCTAACTTCCACATCTTCGGAGCAGGTACTGCAAAGCTTGTCACCTGCTCTGCAGCAGGAATTCAAAGATGTTTCCTGATGAAAAGCATGAAATTACACACATCGCATGTAACACCATGGGATATTTTTAAGAATTCAGGTGAGAAAAATCAGTGAGGCCTGAGATTCATGAGGTCAAGACCTTCACAACAAGGTTAGGGAGTAGAGTGTCCTGTCAAGGAAGGACTTGAACGTGGGTAGACAAAAGAAACATCCCTGAAGAAATTTTCATAACACAGTAAATAATGACAGGAATTTTTCCCTCCAAAATCCCCAAGGCCAGCATGACAGGAACTGGACAGGGACCAGCCGAGTGAACCATGACAGGCTCCATTTGACACTAATAGACATGTCAACAAAGGGTGCACTTTTCACAGAGCTCCTCAGCAAGAGGAATCAGCCACATGCTGCACATTTCAGTGTGACGGTCTGAGGTTTCCAACCACTAGACTTGTTCCCTGATCCAGTGGTCTACATTTTTACTTTAGTTTCTGGAACCAGGATGTGAGAGCATCCACGGGTTTACTTACCCAAGCCTGTGGAGGGCAGCCCATCACACCTAGACCACAGACCTCAACCTGCAGGCATGCGTAGAGGCTGTCTCTGCACATCTGAACATGCCTACATGTTTAGGTCTATGCACGGAAACATTACAATAAGCTAGGCTGATTTATCACTGAGGAAAGAAAGCATTTCTTCACATGTGTGGGTTCAGCGTTCACAAAGGCCTGGGCTGTCACAGCTCCCAGTCCTGCAGCTCTGTGTGTAGTAAGTGCCATCCACACACAGGATTCCCCTTGCTGATCTTTACCTGCTATGTTTTTACTCTTCCTTTCCTATGTGTAGGCATGTTCAGATGTGTAGAGACTTACTTAGCCTGTGCAGCTGCCCGCGGTGTTGAGTAATCTGTGTGAGGTCTATGGCCTGGCTGTGCAGTGCGCCACCCCGCACAGCCTTGGTAAGTACACCCTAGAGTGTTCTCACAGTCACCCCTCCCAGTCACCTGAGGACACACTCTCAGAATAGGTCCCCATCATTAAGCCACACACAGTGGTATCTCTGTTAAGGGCCATTCACAGCACAGTTCTATGTGCTACACTCTCCTATGACCCGCTGCACATAGGCTGTCACACCAGCATGGCTGGTGTGTGAGGCTAAGGCCTTAACAACAGTTACACCACTGGCAACAGCCACACTGCGACTCTGCTACAACAGCATGAGCCAGTATGCACACACAGCCCTGAAAAGCCACTAGCTCTGCAAGGCTGCACACCTAATAGCACGTTTAACACAGGACAGTTATCAAGTCAAAGGTCCAGTGGCTTCAGCAGTTCTTCAGGATCACACTGAACCGAATCCCTGCGCCCCCTCCCACTCACCCACCAGGCTCCAGACACCTGAGGAGTTCCTCAGATTAATCCACACTTACCCCTAGTGAAAACTAAATACAAAAATACATACCACTTTCTTTCCAGAAGGTTCCCAGAGAGAAACATCTCCCCATGATGTGTTATAGAAGAACTTCTCTCCTGGATCAAAGCCTTTAAGGTCCTTCAAAAAAATGTAGGAAAAAAAGATCATTATACAAAGTCAGAAGATAAAGAAATACTGACTAGGATCCGATGAGGTTACTTGGTGCTTAAAATCTACCTGGGTAAAGAGACACAAAAGTCTCTTTGGGAACCACTGAGGACGATCGCTGAAAAGGATGGAGTGATCAAGCAGAATTACAGAAGAAACAGATGAGGCCTCCTGACACATAAGCATCTACACCTTGTGCTATGGTCCAGGTATGAGGTGTCCCCAAAGCTCATGTGTGAGGCCGTGCAAGGAAGCTTAGAGGTGAAAGGGTAGGTTAGGAGAGCCTTAGCCTAACCAGTACCCTCGTCCACCCCCAGGGGTTAGGCAGGTGGGCCATGGTGGGAGAACCTCAGCCTAACCAGTACCCTCGTCCACCCACAGGGATTAGGCAGGTGGGATGTGGTAGGAGGAGGCTGTCCCTAGGGGAAAGTCACCGGGTTTAATTTTGTCCCTGGTGAGCGGAGCTCTCTCTGCTTTGACTGCTATGTCCTTCCACCATGACTTTTTCCCTCACCTCGGGCACAGAGCAATGGAACTGGCCATCTATGGACTGAGACCTCTGAAACCCTAAGCACCACATAAACGTTTCCTCCTCGAAGCTGTTCTTGTAGGTCTTTCAGTCACGGAGATGAAAAAGCTGACTAAAACACCATGTTTGTGTCAACAGAGCCAAGCCCAGGAAAGGGTTCCACAGCAATCGCAGCTCTGAGAGTAGCATGAAGAAACAGCAGCACTTCCAAGAAGAAGAGCTCCCACGCTTTACCACCACAACCGCCTCCAGGCCTCCCTCCCACACAAGAATCAGACACAAAGGACCACCGGGACAGGAACGAGACTCTCCACTCCCATGCTCAAGTGTGAGGGACGCAGTCCGGGGGACAGAGACCCTAGCCAGCTCAGAGGACAAAGGTGCCCAGCTCTGATGGCCTCAGAGGGGCAGGCAAGGACCAGTCTCCTAATGCCATCACAGGCAGAGAGGAGGTTTAGTGGGGCCTCCTCGCCTCCTCCTCACTCCTCTTCACCATCCTAAGTTTCCACCTAAGATGTGATTTTTTACTCTGTTAAGGAAGTAAAGGTATCTGCAGGCAAGGCACCACGGCCACGCCTCTGATCCCAGCAACTCAGGAGGCTGAGGCAAGAGGAAGAGGATCCCAAGTTCACAGCCAGCCTCAGCAACTTGGCAAAGAGGCCCTAAGCAATTTAGCTAGACCTTGTCTCAAAAAATTAAAAAGGGCTGGATGTGGCTCAGTGGTAAAGCGCCCCTGCGTTCAATCCCTGATATAAAAAACAAGAAAGAAAGGAAGGTCTCCTCGGTGGCTGTTCTGTGGACACCTTTGCTCCTCCCACCTGGGACATCTCAAGAGTTCCCAGTGTTATTTTTGTAACAGGAAAGACTATTGCCTTGTCTGAGGGTTTGATTTTAGTGACCTTGTCTCTTTGCTCGGACTTCTTGGTATCTCCACTGACCACAGTCTCTGAACTATACTGGCTTCCCAGCCTCTGTCTTCAGGTGTGCTATCTTAACTGCACAGTCTGCAGTTCTGGCCAATTTTCTGGTATATTAACCCCATAAGACTAAGCCTGGCTGGCTCATTCCCTCTGAGCAATTTTATATGCTTAATCTTTTTTTTTTTTTTTTTTTTTTAATTTATAGCTTGCTTTTTCTTTTTGTAGTTGTAGATAGACAGCATGCCTTTATTTTTATTTGTTTATTTCATGTGGTTCTAAGGATCAAACCCAATGCCTAACACATGCTAGGCAAGCCCTCTGTCACTAAGCTATAGCCCCAGCCTGCATTATTTTTTTGATTACTTTGTTAACTTTTTTACATGGCACTAGGATTGAACTCAGTGCCTCCTACTGCTAGGCAAGTGCTCTGCCACTGAGCCTCAATCCCAGTCAACTCGTAGTCAACTTTAAACTGCACACTGCCAGTACTGGCCAGGCTCTCTGTCACAGAGAACAAAAGCAAGCATTTTTTCATCTTACCTTTCAAGCACATTTCAGGATGGACATTTCAACAAGAACTAAGACATACAGTTTTTTTCTCAGATGGAACAAGTTATTTTTCACTCAAAAAGTTACTTGCCCCAGCCAGGCACAGTGGCACCTGCCTGTAATCCCAGTAACTCAAGAGGCTAATGCAAGAGGATCATAAGTTTGAGGCCAGCCTCAGCAACCTAACAAGGCCCTACCCGAATTAGTAAAACTCTGTCTCAAATTTTTTAAAAAATATAAAACGGGCTAGGGATGTGGCTCAGTGGTTGAGCATCCCTGGGCTCAATCTAAAACTAAAAAAAAAAAAAAACAACAAAAAAAGCTACTTGTTCTAGTGAGAAAGTGCAGATAAGGGTGTGAGGGAGAGAAACCTCACTGCTGGCTGGGAAAACGAGCTAAGAGGCAGCTACCTAAGAAACACTGACAGGGCCTCCAAGGAGCAGGGTGGACCTGGGGCTGGACCTGGAGAGGGAGAAGAGACGGGAATGGCATGTGAACCAGGATGACTATAAAAGGTGGGGAAGGAGGGCATACATACCTGAGACTGACAGGGTACAAACAGGCTGGGAGGGCTGGAGTGCAGCCCAGTGGCAGAACACTTGCCTAGTATGTGCAAGGTTCTGGGTCCCATCCCTAGCACAGCAATAAAACAAAAAGAGCTGGGAACCGACAGCATCAATTCAACCCTCACATGTTCACTGCTGGACTCTAAGAGAGACTTCAACCTCAGTTTCATTGTTGACAAAGCTGATTTAGATGATTTCATGGAAATCGGGAAGCAGGGAACGGGAACTCAGCAGCCTAATCTGACCTGAGCAGGACCAACATGCAGGAAGGCAGGGCAGGGCAGCTGGAGCACAGAGAGGGTTTCAAATGGGAGTTTCCAAGAGTGAACACCAGTCACCAAGGGAGGAGGCACATGTGAAGCATTTCACACGCTCTCTAGCAGTTCACAAGGCTCATGACACTTTCTGTTTCACTGAGTTGAAACGAAGAACCTTTTGCCCTGGACACATTCCAGAGCAAGTGAAAACAGTGCTGTACGGAACACCCTGCACACCCACCCATTTCACCTCTGCAGCAACAGTTCATACATGTAAAAATGCAAACTTTCAAGGAGTAGTCCAAGGAGAGCAGAGATTAGGATCTAAGGCACCGAGACAGGTACTTAGAGGAAAGGGTGTCGGGGTGCAACCCTAAGGCATGTTACAGTGGTCGGGGCAATACCCAATGGGAGTAGGGTGCATCTCAGTGGTGGACTGCTTGCCTAGCGGTGTGAGGCCCTGGACTCCAGCTCCAGCACAGCTAAAAAACAGACCCATGGCTGTGGAGAACCAGAACACACCCAATCATGGGAAAGCCACAGCAAAGCTCAAAAAACCTGAAAAAAGAAATTCCATGAATATGAAAAGTTACAAATTACTTACTATGAGAAAGTAACAACTCAGAGAAAAGATGAGCCCTTGCTACCCCTCCAGGAGGCTCTCTACATCAGAGACCAGCGATCAGCTTAGGACATGGTCAGCGTGCCAAGCCCCTATGCGTGAGCATGTATGTGGTATTCCCAGTTTCTCTTTCTAGGGAAATGACCACCTCTGCTGTATAGTGGTCAGTCTATAGTGCTGTTTTAATAATCAAAGGTTGCTTTTAAAAAATATTAAAACAAGGAGTTGAACCAGAGAATGATAATTAATACAACTGCTTCAACTGCACTGAGGTACACAAATCAAGTCAACTCAGAAATAATAAGGAAAAGACAAGTCATCACCAGTGTTTAAACCAGAAATAGAAGGCATTCTCTGAATTAAATGAAAAACTGCTACAGCACCAGAAACCAATAGCCAAGCCAGGGATTCAAAGGCACCCAGAGCCATCACGAAATCATCATGGCCTTACACAAAACAGAGTTTCACTGTTTTGGGGTGGTGATTGTGTCCTGGAGGTGGAAGACTTGTGTTTTTGTCAGCTTTATATCGCTGTGACCAAAAGACCTGACAGGAACAATTTTGAGGAGGAAAAGTTTATTTTGGCTCGAGGTTTTAGAGGTTCAGTCCGTGGCTGGCCAACTGCATAGCTCTGGCCTGAGGTGAAACAGAGCATCGCGACAGAAGGGTTGTGAAGGAAAGCAGCTTAGGACATGACCACCAGGAAAGCAGAGAGTGCTCCGCCCACCAGGGAAAAAAATGCAAACCCCATAGGCACACTCCCAGGGATCTACTCCTCCAGCCACAGCCCACCCACCTACAGTTACCTCCTAGTTAATCCATATCAGAGGATTAATCCACTGATGAGGCCACAACTCCCATGATCTAATCATTTCATGTTTGAGAATTCTAGCTCTGTCTCACATGAGTTTACGGAGGTACTCATATTGAAACCTTAACATTCTGCCCCTTGCCCCGAAAGCTCATGCCCATCTCACAATACATTCAGTCTATTTCCAAGAGTAACCAGTCTCAACAGTTTTAGCATTGCCCAAAGTCCAAGACCAAATTCTCATCTGAAACTCAAGGCAAACTTATGGACATTCTCCCCTAAAGATCAAAAGCAAGTCACGTACATCCAATATAAAATGGCACAGAGTAAACATTTCCATTCCACAAAGGAGAATCAGGGGAATAAAAAGAGATAGGACCAAAGTAAGACTGAAATCCAAACAAGTCCTGCTAGCTCCCTGTCCAGCATCTGGGGCCCAAGGCACTGTGAAGTTCTCTCCAAAGGGCTTGTGTAGCTCCACTCCTAAAGCCTTGCTGGGTACAGCCCACACAGCCTCTCCTGGCTTGTTCCTGTGGCTGTCCCATGGTACTGGCATCTCTTATTCTTGGGAGTCTCCCCTGCAGCTGCAGCTTCCTACTCACTTCATGCATCACTCCTCTCAGGGGCAGCCCACAGGGACTCCAACCCCGCAACACGGTGCTGGCCTCCCAGGCCTTCCTTTGAAATCTCGGCTAATGCCAGTGCTCAACGCCAAG